AAAAAAAAAAAAAAAGAAGCAAATTAAACAGAGAAAATAACTCCTATTCCAACAGCCATCTCTGAATTAATTACTTTCAGTCCTAGCATCCACCTGAGCTTCAGTTCCCCTTGTAGAAATCTGACAGACCTCATGGGATCCCATCATTTCCAACTCACGTCTCTGTTTCATGCCATTTGTCTTAAAAATTGGCTCTTTCCACTAAGCCTGTCTTTATCTCTCAGTAGTCCTACCATGTTCCTTGGCTGGAAATCTTAGAAGTGTGGGTCCAGGTGTATATGTGTGAGTATCTTCATTCATTTATAAATTCACATAACAGTGATTGAAAACTCTATTAGAAGATGATGACGTAAGACAAGCGAGCTTTTCCTAACCTTAAGAAATACAACTGGGTGGTGCTTGTGGCTCAGTGGGTAGGGCACCAGCCCCATATACTGAGGGTGGCGGGTTCAAACCCGGCCCTCACCAAACTGCAACAAAAAAATAGCCGGGCGTTGTGGTGGGCACCTGTAGTCCCAGCTAGCTATTCGGGAGGCTGAGGCAAGAGAATTGCCTAAGCCCAGGAGTTGGAGGTTGCTGTGAGCTGTGACGCTATGGCACTCTACTGAGGGCGATAAAGTGATAAAGTGAAACTCTGTCACTTTAAAAAAAAAAAAAGAGAAATACAATTGCAGCTGGGTGTAGTGCTATTGCCTTTAATCCTAGTGCTCTGGGAGGCTAAGGCGGGTGGATCACCTGAGCTCAGGAGTTCCAGATCAGTCTTAGCAAGAGCAAGACCCTGTTGGGCAGCGCCTGTGGCTCAGTGAGTAGGGCACTGGCCCCATATACCAATCAATGGTGAAGAGTTTGAACCTGGCCTCGGCCAAACTGTAACAAAAAATAGCTGGGCGTTGTGGCGGATGCCTGTAGTCCCAGCTACGTGGGAGGCTGAGGCCAGAGAATTGCCTAAGCCTAAGAGCTGGAGCTTGCTGTGAGCTGTGACTCCGTGGCACTCTACCAAGGGTGACAAAATGAAACTCTGTCTCTACTAAAAATAGAAAAAATAGCCGGGTGTTTCGGCAGGTACCAGTAGTCCCACCTACTTGGGAAGCTGAGGCAAGAGGATCTCTTGAGCCTAAGAGTTTGTGGTTGCTATGAGCTATGGTGACACCATGGCACTCCACCTAGGGGGACAGAGTAAGATTCTGCCTCGAAAAATACAAAAAAAGGGAAGGGGATTGGAGGGATCACTTCTGTGGTTTATCTTACAAGGATACAAGTGAATCTTTCTAAGAGTAAAATATGAATGTTTTAACACAATAACTAAGAAAATGACATGAAGGCTATGTTAACCAGTTTGATGGAAATGTTTCAAATTGTATGTGAAAACACCACATTGTACCCCAGAATTGCATTAATGTACATAGTTACCATTCATTAGAAAAAAATAAAACAAAAACAAAGAAAAGAAAAATACAAAAAAAAAAAAGAAATAAAATTGTCCTTCCACATCCATGGGGTCCACAAAAATGGATTCAGTCAATTGCAGTTAGAAAATGCAATTAGGGCTCGGAGCCTGTGGCTGAAACGGCTAAGGCGCCAGCCACATACACCTAAGATGGCGGGTTCAAATCCCCAGCCCGGGCCCGCCAAACAACGATGATGGCTGCAACCAAAAAATGGCCAGGCGGTGTTGTGGCGGGCGCCTGTAGTCCCAGCTACTTGGGAGGCTGAGGCAGGAGACTCGCTTGAGCCCAGGAGTTGGAGGTTGCTGTGAGCGTGATGCCATGGCACTCTACCCAGGGGGATAGCTTGAGGCTCCGTCTCAAAAAAAAAAAAAAAAAGAAAATGCAATTAGGCCTATGATGATTAGATCTGTACTTATCCTGAACAGACTGGTCATTATTCCCTAAAGAATGCAGTATAACAACTATTTATATAGCACATTGTATTATTTTAAGTAGCCTACAGGTGATTTAAGTGTACAGGAGGATGTGCATAGGTATATGCAGAAGCTATATACCATTTTGTATCAGGGACTTGAGCCTCATGGAGTTTGGTATCTGAGGGAGGTCCTAGAATAATCCCCTGGGAATACTAAGAGAGAACTGTATATAGCAGGCAGAGGGGGCTAATATGTAAATACTTGCAAATAAAGTGTGATCAAGAGTCTCTAACATTTCTGGTGGGGCTAAGAAGAGGACTGTCCATGCTAACCCTAAGGGCAGATGCTCCCTAGGCTTGAACTGAGTACTGCTGGTGTTTGCAGTTGGACACAGAGGAAGAACATTATAGTCAGAGGCTGTAAAGAAGGCAGAGGAGCACCGGGCATCTGGCAGTCTGGGCTGTTGAGCACTGCACAGAGTTGGGTGAGGCTTGAGTCTTGGGTGTTGAGGAAGGGGAGGTGCCACCTGAGATAGATCTGGAGAGAGAAGTAGAGCCAAATCATGATCCACCTAGGTGACATGCTAATGACTGTAAACTTCACTGGGCAGGTGTGGGGGCCCCAGGCAGATGGATGGGAGACACGGAAGATGGGACCCACCTGAGGCACCTCTGTTGGGGCTCAGGTGACTCGGGTGAGGGTATACACCTTGGGAGCAGTGGGGGTAGGAGCAGGGCTTCAGACTTGCTGGTGCTGGGTGGCTGCCTTGCAGAGGGAGGAGAGAAAGTGTGATCTAGGGACTTGTGGCTGAGGACATGGGTGGTGCAGGGAAAGTCCATTTAGACAGAGTTTAAGGGTCTCGAGCTCCCACAGAGTGACATGCATGTGTGGACTATGTCAGTGTGGAGACTGGTATTGAGGTCTGGCCTGGAGATCAGGTGGTGTCATAGGAGGCACCGGCTGGGAGTGCAGTAGAGGTTGGGAGTGGGACGGGCACTGGCCTCTGGGGCCCCATAAAGCTAAGGCCACTGTCAGAGAAGAGTGCTCGGAGGAGCTGGGTCAGTGGCAGCATCAGCTCTGGAGGCCCAGAGGGTCAATGAAGAGGAAAATGGGACTTGGCCTTTGAGTCTGAGGAGTGAGGGGTGTTACCATGTGCAGTGGCGGCAGTGTGGGTGCAGTAGGAAGGGAGGGAGAGGAGGAAGTGGCTACTTCAGGGTGACCCCAAGGAAGGAGAGAGCTGGGGCTGTGCCATGGAAACCCAACCCCTGAGAGATGGGGAGGGGTCAACTGACTGGTGGGAAGTGGTCAGGCGGGCAGGGAAGGGGTGACATAGGAGCAGCGTGGCCGCACCTTGTCAGCTGCCTGCTGTCTGTAGCTTTGGGGTCCTTCTGGGGCAACCTTTAGCCACTGACTGTCTTCTCCCTAGTTTCTTGGGGAGTTCTGTTGGCGCGGGGAAGGCAGGGTCAGTCTCACAGACTTGCTAGCTCCTTGGTGTTTCAGATGTTGCTGTCCCTGCCCAAACTAACTCTCAGCATTTCCCTCCATTCCTCCGTAGATTGATCTGCGTTATGAAGCTCGGAATCTAGAACACTTCCAGCGCAATTTCCAGAACGTGAAAGCAGTCAAATTCCCCACGCCTCTGCGGCCCTTTGTCACCCGGGATGTGTTGGTGGAAACATATGAAGTAAGAGTTTAGTGGCCTCACCCACAGCTGGCCCCCAGAAGGGCTTTTGTCTGGAGGGAGGATGCGGCTCCTGCCTGCAACACTGTGAGGAGCTGGGACGTGGTGGCAGGAGGGGAGGCAGAGCCTTGAGGCAGCTAAGAGCTCAGGACATGGCCTCAGGCCTCCTAGATTAGAAATCTGCTCTGCCATTTTGTTAGCTGAGACCTAAGAGGCAGAGGCAACAGTTCCTCCCTCACAGGATTGGCCCAGGAGTAAATGGCACATTGAATGCAAAACCCTCAGCTTGGCACAGAGAGAATGCTGCACAGCCTTTGTGGCATTTGCTCAGCTGTCCCCTAGTCCAGCCTTCTCTATAGAGATGGTAATATGAGATTCAAAGAAGTGACAGGAACTAGCTATGTGAATGTGTGAGCTTGAGCAAGTTAGTAAACTCTTCAGGCCTTGCTTGGCTCTTTTATCTGTTAATCAGCAGGAACAAAGATCTATCTCCGTGGGGTGTTTTGATGGGTCAATAAACTAAGCCATATAAAACCTTACTCACTAGCTCCCCTTTCTTCTCTCTTTCTCTTCTCTTCCTTCCTGTTTTCCTGCTACATCACAGAGCTCATTCATGGCCCCACTGGCTGATTCCTGACCAGGAGCCAGCTCTCCCTGTACCTACTCTTGTCTTGCCAGGACATCACAGCACCCCTTACCTGTCAGTAGCCGAGTTCATAGGACTTGTTTGCCCTTTGTGAACTGTTATAAAAGGGAAATGTACTTAAGTTCAGATCAGCTTGTGGATGATGGATTTGTCAGGGGCTCTGAGAAAAGTAAAGCTCTGGGTTAAGCTGTTCTTTCTCTGGTCTTCCCTAAAGGAGAGTGTGCCTGTGTCCAGTTACCAGCAGGCAGGAATTCCTGTGGACTTGAAGAAGAAGATCGCGCGCCTGGGGATCAACATGCTCCTGAAGATGGTGAGCTCAGGCCAAGAGTGGTGCTCAGGCCCAGCACGTAGCTGCAGCCCATTCAGTTGTCCAGGTTGGAGGGCCAGCAAGCCCCTACTTGGAGAAAGTCTGCTCTAGAAAGTGCTGAGCCTACAAAAGTGCCCTGCAGAAGTGGCCAGAACATCCGTTCAGCCATTTCTCAGTGCTTGTTTTCAGGGTGCTGTGGGTAGAGCAGTGAGCAAGGCCTAGTCTTAGGCCGCCAATAGGTTAGACAAATAGCCAAGACAGCCTCCTATGTTACATGTGCTTTAGTCACTTGGTCGGCAAGTATTTACTGAGCACTGGCTATGTGCCCAGCATTGAATTAAGGGCTGTGGACAGCAGAGAGCAACATCGATGTGAGCACAATATTCATGGAACTGCTCAGGGAAAACAGGCACACAATCGGTAAGGGAATATAGGGGTAAGCTCAGGGTACCAACGGCTCATTTACAAGGGCCCCCTGCCAGCCCAGGGGTTCGCTCACAAAGTGGCTTCATCTCAGTTGGGATGTGAAGGAGGTGTAGGTATCATTGTGAGAGGACAGGTGGCAGGGAGTTGTCTGAGAGAATGACCCAGGCTGGGGGTGAGTGAAAATAATTTTAGTCTTGAAAAATTTTACTTAACATGTCCCTATACAAATTCTGAATTGATGACATCAAACAATGAGCTTTATATGTACACCCCTTTACTTTTGTAACAGATCATTGGTTGTCACTGTGGTGCTTTTTCTGCATGTGGCCTGGTGGTGCTGGGGAAGTGAGGCTTGACTTGGTTGTGACAGTGGGGTCTTTTTGCAGATATTTGTGGATAACTTTGTGCATGCCGACCTTCACCCTGGAAACATCCTGGTTCAAGGTGCTGACAGTCTTTCTGCAAGCCGGGACGTGCAGCTTCAGCCGGTGGATGTCTGTGACACGCTGGTGGTGGCCTTGGCACCAGCCCTGCACCCACTGCGCCTGGTACTGCTGGATGCCGGCATCGTGGCGGAGCTACAGGCTGCTGACCTGAGGAATTTCCGTGCGGTTTTTGTGGCTGTGGTGATGGGGCAGGTCAGACCCACTGGGATCACAGCAGTTGGGTTTGGATCTTTTATGCTCCAGGGACCCATCTCTGTCTTGACATGGGGCTCCCCAGTCCCATCATTTTGGTAAATGCCCAACTTTGCAGAGTGAAAAGAAGAGGAGAGGAAATGAAGCTGCCCTCATGGGGTCTGCTGTGAGAAGGGGCTGGGGCCTGACTCTGAGGCCAGTCTAAGCAGCTCCTGCTTTGGGACCATCGGGGAGAAGAGCATCCTTTCCAGATGCTGCTGGGAGGTGCTAGTTTCTCCTCCTCCTTAGGCAGACACCCACCGAGCACTGGACATGCCATATGCTGTAAGACAAAAGTGAGTGAGGGGCAGCAGCAGAGGAGGGAAGCTGTATCTCAGGTGGCACTGGCACACTGGCGTCTCAGTGGAGGATCTGAGGAGTTTTTCAAACCTCCCTGTGATTCCGAGGAGCTCCACTGGCCGAGAATTATTATTTAGAGAAAAGGGATTCAGCAGAGCCCCTCCTGAGTCAAGTTAAAGTGTAATATCAAGGGTGACCATAATGAGACACTCTGGCTGGCTGGCCAAGAATTTTCCAGCAAGAAAGACCCTGGGTAAAAGGGCACTGGTTTTTTGTTGTTGTTGTTTGTTTTTTAAAGGGCAAAATTCAAGCAAGCTCTTGTTTCCGAGGCTTCTGAGGGGACAAAGCCTGAGCCTGAAGCTGGCTTGGAAGTGTGCCTGGGCCAGAGACAAACACTGAGGTGGGGTGTCGGGGCTGGGGCCGTTCCTCTGTGCAAGTTTGGGCAAAGGAAAATGGGCACAGCCTGAAGAGGAAGAGCCACAAGCAGGATGGTAAAAAACTAAGGTGGAAGCCACTGAGAAGTTTAGGCAGAGCATCCAGCTCTTTTATGCTCACTTGACTCTACCAATTTGTTTTTCCTTTGGGTCTTCCAGGGCCAAAGGGTGGCTGAGCTCATCCTGCATCATGCTCGGGCCAATGAGTGCAGGGACGTGGAGGGGTTCAAAGCAGAGATGGCCACGCTGGTGACCCAGGCCAGGAAGAACACCATCACCCTGGAGAAGGTGGGCAGGTTGCTTGGGGTGTCCACTGCGCTTGCCCTCAAACAGGATAAATTCCAGGTCTGAGGGAGACTTCTCTATGGGGCAAGGTCTGAAGGAAGTGTGAGTTTTAGGGTAGATAAAGAACACCCCACGTCTTCCAGGCATGAGGAGGCCCAGTGAAGTTCCTAAGTCTTAGGAGGGGCTCCTTGGCCAGGCTCTCCCAGGGTGGCTGCTGTGGCAATGACCTTCAGCCAGGGTGCAGCTGTTCTGCAGATGGCTGAGCATGGATGGAGGGAGGGCTGTAGTCCCCGAGCAGCCAGAGGATGTGCTCAATGCTCACGTCCCTCCTTCAGACCTGACTTAGTCTAAATGACTTTGTATGTTACACACATGTAACACATGACTGTTTTCTCCCAAGTTCATGCCCACATTAGGAGGAGTGGGTTGGAATAAGAGGTGGCCACTGACACCCTGGTACATCCTGGTACTGTTGATCTTGTGTGTCCAAGACGAGATTTTTCTGTAATTGCTGCAGGAATGGGGTAGACAGGTCCCCAGGGCTTATCCTCCAAAGGTGGCAGTGACTGAATCTCAAGGTGGGATCTGGGCTGGAGCAGGAGTAGTCCTTGCTGGATCTTGTCAGACAGTCTCTTCCTGCGCAGTGGGAGGTGTGCAAAGAGCGTGTGGGTGGGGGGAAGAAGTGGTCCTAGAGGTGCTTGGTCCACACTGGGCTTAATTCTGTTTTCCAGCTGCACGTGTCCAGCCTCCTGTCCAGCGTGTTTAAGTTACTGATGGCTCACAAGGTGAGGGGAGTCTCCAGGCAGAGTGGGGCACAGGGTAGCAGGAGCTGTGTCTCTTTTCTCCATTTTGAAAGCATTTTAGTAATAAGCTATCTGCATCAGGAAGTCTGGCTTTGTTTCCTTATGTAGGCCTGGAACAACCTCTCCTTCCTACCATGATTGGCCTTTGTTATCTCTCAAATTTATGCAGTCTTGGTGGTGCCCATAGCTCAGTGGGTAGAGTGCTAACCAATACACCAAGGCTGGCGGGTTTGAACCAGGCCCAGGCCAGCTAAAAAAACAATGAGAACTGCAACAACAACAACAAAAAGTAGCCAGGCATTGGTGGGTGCCTGTAGTCCCAGCTACATGGGAGGCTGAGGCAAGAGAATCACTAAGACCAAGAGTTTGAGGTTGTTGTGAGCTGTGAAGCCACGGCACTCTACCAAGGGTGACATAGTGAGACTCTGTATCAAAAAAAAAAAAAAAAGATTAAAAATGATTTATGTAGTCTTAAGTGCCTACGATACTTAGATGTAGAAAAATGGACTTTAAAATATAAACACAGTCTAACTCAGGCATCGCAAGCCTTTTGCCTCCTTGGTTCACATTATTGATGTGATGTTCACACTATTAATGTAAGTGATACTTTGCTCTTTGCTGAGTGGGTTAAAGTCCTGAGGTCAGGAGCTGCTTAGGAGGGAGGTGCTTCTTGCCCAGGTGCTTTCAGAGACCCTAGCAGGGCTGTCCCAGTCTGGCTGCTCCAGTCCCTTAGAGCACAGGATGAGAAGCAGGTGGATGAAGTCACATTAATCCCCTTCTCCCCCACTGACCTACACAAGCATCTCCAAGCCTACAGGGTTGCCACTGGGGCTGGATGCATCTGTGATGATAGTAATCACAGCAGTGTGCCAATAGCTTCCTCTGTTCACCCTCTGGTCTCTAGTTTAGCCGTATGACATCAATTACTATCAGTTTAATCCCCCCAGCATTCTAAGAGGCAGGCACCAATGCCGAGAGGCCAAGCAGCTTGACTGTGGCCATGTGGCCTGTCGCAGGCCAGGGACCAGGCATTGCAGGCTGAGCTCACTTTGTCCTCTTGCCTCCAGTGCTGCCACTCTGTACATGTGCCCCAATGTGGGACACAGTGGCTGAGAGGACTAGGTTTACTGCTGTGTTTATTCCCAGTTTGAAAGAGCAGGCAGAGGGCCCACGGTTGCATCCTAAGCACTTCACTAGGCACTTAATAACAAGTTTATACATTTTTAAGTGTGGTAAAAAGCACATAAAGGAGTTTATCCAAATGCGTTCACCGGTGTCCACCAAATTCCCATCATCATACTATAAATCTCCAGAACTTTCTCATCCTGCAAAACTAAAACTCTATAAGCACTGAACCACCACTCCACATTTCCTTCTCCACCCAGCTCCTGGGTCTACAAAAGTAGACCACCATTCTACTTTTGTTTCCATGATTTTGACTACTCTAGATATGTCCTATGAGTGGAATCATACCAATCATACAGTATATTGCCCTTTTCTGACTGGCTTATGTTATTCAATATAATGTCTTCAAGGTTCATCCATGTTGTAACATATGACAGGATTTCATTTTTTTTTTTTTTTTCTGAGGCAAAGTCTCACTCTGTTGCCTAGGCTATCATGCCATGGTGTCATCATAGCTTATTGCAACCTCAAACTCATGGGTTCAAGTGATCCTCCTGCCTCAGCCTCCTCAGTAGCTGGGACTATAGCACCCGCCATGATGTCTGGCTAATTTTTTTTCTATTTTTAGTAGAGATGGGGTTTCAATCTTGCTCAGGCTGGTCTTGAACTCCTGAGCTCAAGGGATCTTCCCTGCCTCCACCTCCCAGAGTGCTGGGATTACAGGCCTGAGCCACCACATCTGGCCACTTTCTTTTTTTAGACTGAGGACGATTGCAGTGTATGTACATACTGAATTTCCTTCATTATTCTATTGATGAACCTTTGGATTGCTTCCACCTCTTGGCTATTGTATATAATGCTGCAATATCTGTAAATGTGGGAGAGCAAATTTCTCTCTTAAGATCCTGTTTTCAAATTTTTGGATATATATTCAGAAATGAGATTGCTGGAGCATATGGTATCTTTTTAGTTTTTGAGGCCTCTCCATGCTGCTGTCCACAGTAGCCACACCATTTTATATGCCCACTAATACTGCACAAGGTGCCCAATTTCTCCGTATCTTCAGCAACACTTGTCATTTTCTTTTTTTTTTTTTTGAGACAGAGTCTCACTATGTTGCCCTCAGTAGATGCTGTGGTGTCACAGCTCACAGCAACCTCAAACTCTTGGGCTTGAGCGATTCAATTGCTTCAGCCTTCCAAGTGGCTGGGACTATAGACACCCACCACAACACCCAACTGACTATTTTTTGTTGCAGTTGTCATTGCTGGCCCAGGCCGAGTTCAAACCCGCCACTGTCGGTGTATGTGGCTGGCGCCATAATCACTGTGCGAGTGCCAAGCCAACATTTGTCATTTTCTGTTCCCTGTCCCCCCCAGTGGCCATCCTACTGGGTGTGAGGTAATACCTCATAGTGGTTTTTTTTTTTTTTCTTGTCTGAAGGAGACTGGCAGCATTACTATTTATAGTTATACTGCTAATTAACCTTCAACTGTCTGTATAGCCTCATAGTGGTTTTGCTTGCTTTTCTTTTTTTGTTTGAGACAGAGTCTCAAGCTGTCACCCAGGGTAGAGTGCTGTAGCATCACAGCTCACAGCAACCTCCAACTCTTGGGCTTCAGCAATTCTTTTGCCTCAGCCTCCCGAGTAGCTGGGACTACAGGTGTCCGCCACAATGCCCAGCTCTTTTTTAGTTATAGTTGTCATTGTTGTTTGGTGGGCCCAGGCTGGATTCGAACCCGCCAGCTCAGGTGTATGTGGCTGGTTAGCCACTTGAGCTACAGGTGCTGAGCCCTTGATTGCACTTCTTGATTGACGAGTGATGCTGAGCATCGTTTCATATGCTCCTTGGCCATACACATCTCTTTGGAGAAGTGTCTGTTTGGGTGGTGCTTGGTGGTGCTTAATCTTTTAATAAAGTATTTGACAATAACACAGAGGTAAAAGAATCTAATACACACTGAGGAACTCACCACTCAGTGTAAGAATGGAAGCATTCCTAGTAGTTTGAGAGCCCTGGGTCCCCAGCCTACCCGAGCCTGGTGGTCAAGGGACCCTGTCCACCCTCTTGTGTCCTGGCTGGAGCCCCACAAGGAGCTCCTGGGAGGATGCTGCTTTCTCTTGGGTTCAGTGGTATCCACCAGATTCACATTGTTGTGCAACAGATCTCTAGAACTTTCTCATCTGGCCCATTTTACCCCTAGACAGCCTGCTAGTCCTTAACTGAAACAAATAACTTTTTTTTGAGACAGTCTCATTATGTCACCCTAAGTAGAATGCTGTGGTGTCACAACTCACAGCAACCTTAAACCCTTGGGTTTAAGTGATTCTCTTGGCTCAGCCTCCCAAGTAGTTGGGACTACAGGTGCCCGCCATGACGCCCAGCTATTTTTTTTTGGGGAGGGGGTTTAGTTGAGGGGCTGGGTTTGAACCTACCACCTCCGGCATATGGGGCTGGTGCCTTACTCCTTTGAGCCACAAGAGCCGCCCAGCTATTTTTTTGTTGCAGTTGTTATTGTTGTTTAGCTGGCCCAGGCTGGGCTCAAACCAGTTAGCCTCAGTATATGTGGCCGCATCCTATCCACTGAGCTATAGGTGCTGCCTGAGACAAATAACTCTTTAATTTTTAACAAAGAATATTCCCTGTAAGTCAACCTTTCATTTTCTGAGTTCTTGTCTACTTGAAAAACAGATTCTTCTTCTAGGTTTAAATCCTGGCTCTATTCTTTCTCACCCAGTGGCCTTGAGTAAGTCATTTATTGTCCCTGTGCCATAGCTTCTTTCTCTATAAGATGGGGATAATTATAATACTTTTGAAGATTATTTGAATAATTCATGTAAATTGCTATTTCTATTAACTTGGCTCCAAAGGAGGAAGCTTTGCCCTGTTCCAGCAGTTAGTTGTGTGTAGTCTTTTATTTATTTATTTTATTATTATTTTTTTTTTCTTTTTGCAGTTTTTGGCTGAGGCTGGGTATGAACTGGCCACCTTAGGCATATGGGGCTGATGCCCTACTCCTTTGAGCCACAGGTGCTGCCCTGTGT